ATTTTTTGAAAAGCGAGAAGTAAAATGGATCTTTCAATTGAATACATTACAACCTAAAGGATTAAACGTGGACTTGGATCTACATTTGTTCCTGTAGGTTTTATAGAACTGAATAAAAGGTTCATTGAATGTGATAAAATGTCAGTGGAAGGTGATGAAGTTCATCCCGATGTGCTTAATGCAAGATAAGAGAAGAGACGTGGGAAACATATATGTTACATTGTAACAGAGTAACAAATCATTTCTGGTGTTTGAAGAAGAAATGAGAAACGTGTATGTTTGTATATCATTATCGGGGCTTGAGAAAGAACCGCGTGTGGTGCGAAACTGTTGCCCTTTTTGTATCATGTCATGACAATGATCACTTTGGATTAACAAATAAAGAAGATCAAGTGAACCTGGACGTTCTTTGTTACTATATATAGATATATATACGCAGACTTTTCCTATAAAGGCTTTTCCTATCAATTGATACAAGCTGAAGACCTTATAGGTGGAGAACTGGACCAAGACTCTACAGCACCCAAGCTAAGGATTGTCTTGTTTCTGTCTTTTCTTCAGTTTATGTCAATTATATTTCATATATTACTACAAATTTCCCTTTTTCCAGTATACTGCAATATACCAAATAATATATTTCAGTCCCCAAGGGCAAGATGTCTATTTTCTCACCTCAAAACTCATTTCTAAAGCAAATTGTACCCAACACATCTACAATTATATAAAAATTTGAGGAGGACTTTAACAATATATTTAGTTACTCTCCACCTCCAGTCCTAAAATGATAAAAGCCTTATTGGTATACTTACCTTTCTCAGGCTCCAGGCTCCTTACAGGTTCCGTTTGGGCTCCGCTGCCAGGGTTGAGCTTTAGCTTGCTGTAGGATCTGGGATCAGGCAGTGCTACTGATTGGCTATCTTCACCCCAACAGCCATTCCTGCACAGGGATCATGCCCCACACCATGGCTACAACCAGAGGATGGTGGGAATGAAGTTGGTGTGAGTATTCCAGATGGGATTTTATCATTTTAAGGCTACAAAGGGGGCTCATTGAGACCTTTCCTTCTTAATAAACTTTGCTCATTCTCACCCTCTCTGCAGCAGAAATGTTACTTTGCCCTAAGAACATCATTATATGATATCATTAGAATGATCCCAGTAGCACTTTACATAGTCATTGCTGAGGACTCACCTGCTGGAAGGTACAGAAAAGCCAAAACATATGACAGAAGATTCCTCATGATTTGACTTGAAGAGATGAGCCAGTCTCCTGTTATCCTCGGATATATTGATCAACCTATTGCAGATCTATGAAACAAGGTCTCCGGAGGCTGGTTGTGAGTCCGGAGAACTTGCGTTGTGTTCAAAGGCTTTCAACAAACATCTGAGATGACAATGCACCAAACCTCAGTTGCAGGTTAAATACTTTTTCTGGGTAATTTTCCATTTCAGTTCTCAGTTCTGAGAGCTCAGACCAATGACCAGACCACATGGCATATGGCACCCGTATAGAGAAGAAAGGAAATGGTCAGCTTTGAGGTTAATGCTAATCATCTGGAATCTTCAGAACTGTGTTCTACGCTGGCAAGGTATGCTTTAAATCAGATGGAGATGTAATGTCTGTCATCACTGCGCCCACATAGTGTTTCCTGTGAGGGGAACTGCTAATGCTGTTAATAGCATACAAAGACATTGTAGATAATTGTGTTCTCGCAGCATTGTGGTCAGAGTTTGATGAAGACCCTTTTCTGTTCCACCATGACTTTCCCCTGTGTACAAAGCCAGCTCCATACAGACATGGTGTGACCAGCTTGTTGGAGACACTCGACTGATCTCAAACCTACTGAACACATTTGGGATGAAACCTCACCAAAGTTGTAATATTGAGTTGTACTCACAGGTCCTCTGGTGATTGTTGACAACCCTGAAAAATGAACATGCAATGAACGACACTTTACATCTCCCCGTATTCCACTGCAAGCGATCGGACTGACCTCATGGAAACAATATGATGTCTACCCTGCCACTGGTTTAATCTTAACAAGTGTCCAGCAAAGGGTGATGACTGCTTTTTGGCACGGTGATAGCCATTTTATTTCTAGAAGAAGACGTTTGCAGGTCACATGATGTGTTTACAATCCTCATTGGAGGTCACTGGTAATAAACCCCCCTGACTACAATCCTATACAGTGACTTAGTGGTGAGCACGCTCTCCCTGTTGTCCAGTACTTGGTACTCACCACAGTCACTAGTCACATGGAGTTTGTATCTTCTCCCCTTATCTAGATGTTTGGTTTTATATACTGGCGCGGTTCGGTGGCTTCCTTCCACATGGACCCGAGTATTTGTTTGTTCTTATACACTATGGCAGTGATGTCCAACCTAAAGGAGATGAAATGCTACAATTGTATCCACAAGCCGAGTGGTGGCCCCATGGAAATGAACTTGGTTTCTATACAGTTCCCAATACAATAACATTACATCCTAATATATGACTACTTTGGGTAATACATTAGGAAGCATGTATGGTTAACAATAAACAACTTCTCTACCACATCAATGATCAATGTGACAATGGGAGCTGATGTGCCAATCTCAGAAGGTGAAGGCTGGTCTATGTCACATCATGAGAGGTCAGAGGGGAGGTTTCTTCAAGAGGCGGCCTCTTTTTCCTGAGGGCAAAGCCACTTTGTATATTGGTGTTGGGACACAAAGAGATAAAGCTCCAAGTGTCATTAGTTCCAGTGGGAGTCCTGAAGACACCAGTGCAGGAGGGGACATTTCTCGGAGCCCAATGTGGAGCTCAGGAACAAAGCCTCTTATTGCATTGGTGTTAGTGGGACTAATAAATAAAACTTTCTGTGATGTCAGTGTGCTTACGTACCTCCTGTGATAGGATCTTGTCCAGGTAAGGATATCAGAGCCTACTTCCATCCACTACTCCTCATCCTTGGGGCCCTGACCACCCCCCACAAAGATGGGGGCCAGGTGTTTCCAGTAAAGGGTAAAATTAATCCTACATCATACAAACACATTTTAGACCATTGTGCTCTCCTAACGTTGGGGCAACAGTCTGGGGAAGGCCTGTTCTCACTGTGATCACATGACCATCACACCTATATGAGCTTGCTGGTCATCCCATTCCAAAACGATGGCCATTAATATGGAGCTGATCCCTTTGTGGCTATATCATCCTCCACTCTTCTGGGAATGTTGGACCATTTGTGAGGTCAGGTCCTGATGTTGGATGAGAAGATCTGGCTCACAATTGGTGTTCCAATTCATCCAAAAGGTGTTCATTAGGGTTGAGGTCAGGGAATTGTGCAGGACACTCGAGTTCCTCTACACCAAGCTGGTCACACCATGTCTGTATGTATCTGGCTTTGTACACAGGGGAAAGTCATGGTGGAACAGAAAAGGGTCTTCACCAAACTTTGACCACAAGGCTGGAAGATCACAATTGTCTACAATGTCTTTGTATGCTATTAACAGCATTACTAGTTCCCTTCACAGGAAACAATATGTGGGCACAGTGATGACAGAGATTACATCTTGATCTGATTTTAATCATACCTTGCCAGCGTAGAACACAGTTCTGAAGATTCTAGATTGTTAGCATTAACCTCAAATCTGACCATTTCCTTTCTTCTCTATACGGGTGCCATGTCTATGTGGTCTGTTCATTGGTCTGAGCTCTCAGAACTGAGAAGTGAGAACTGGCATGGAAATGACCCAGATACAGTATTTAACATGCAACTGAGATTTGGTGCATTGTAATCTCAGCAGTTTATTGAAAGCCTTTGTACACAACGCAAGATCTCCGGACTCACAACTAGCCCCCGTAGACCTCGTTTCATAGATCTGCAATAGGTTTATCAATCACAGGAGAAGAGGAGGCCAGCTCATCTCTACATACCGAAACTAGATGGAGGATCTTCTGTCCTATGTTTTGGTTTTTCTGTACCTTCAAACAGGTGAGTCCTCTGCAATGACTATGTAAAGTGCTACTGGGATCCTTCTAATGATATCATATAATGATGTTCTTAGGGCAAAGTAACATTTCTGCTGCAGAGAGGGGGAGAATGAGCAAAGTTTATTAAGAAGCAAAGGTCTCAATGAGTCCCCTTTGTAGCCTTAAAATGATAAAAGTCCCCTCTGGAATACTCACACCAACTACTTTCCCACCATCCTCTGGTTGCAGCCATGGTGTGGGGCATGATCCCTGTGCAGGAATGATTGGCTGTTGGTTCGCTCTCTGAACCCAGATTCTACAGCTTGCTAACTTTTGGCCAATATGTGTGGTACGATATGAAAGATCGACGCAGGGAACAGTGGTGTGAAACTCTCAGTCTTGGGGTTCTGTAATCTTTTTATCCATGCAAGGACCGTACCTCAGGAAAGGACATATATGGCGTATACCCATGAGCTACTTCTGGGTCTAGATTGGAAAAGACCGACTGTAGTAATTGCAACTTGTTACTTATTTGGGGTCTGTTATGTTATTTTATGTTTTGTTTTGTTTAGTTTTCACTTTTGATGTCTCTTTGGACTGTATTCCAACCAATGCACTTATTGCAAGAATTGCATAGGTTTCATATTGCTCTTTGGCGTATTATGTGCTCTTTTGTACCAACAAAATTCTCAATAAAAATGTTATTTAAAAAAAATAAAATAAAAATTCTTCTTTCACCCTCTTCAGGAGTGGCATTGAGCCCGGTGGTGACCTTCACCCCAAACTGGAAGAAGATCTTCACAGGAGAGTCTATAACAATGACGTGTGATTTTGGGTCTACCAGAGGAGGAGATCTGACCTACACCTGGATCAAAGATGGTAAAAGGGTCCGTACAGGAAAAACCTTCACCATTCCATCTGCAATAACTGCACATAGCGGGGACTACAGCTGCCGGGCCCGTACAGAAAGAAGTGTCACCGCCAGACTGGATGTTGTTGGTGGTCAGTTCATTATATCACATTGATAATGTTCCATCTGAATGTCTTCCTATCCCATTCCAGACAAAATACGAGAAATCTAATATCAGGTTCCCAGATTTCACTTCTTAGTGCAGCCAAAGCTTGTCTCTATTAGGGCCTTCCATGTTGGATGGCTGATGTATTCTGAAAGCTGAACTCAATAGCAGACAGCCAGCCAGCAGGTGAGACCATAGTACTCAGTGGGGACATACCATCTATAACACCAGAATGTGCAGATTGGACAATGGTAAGTATTAGGCATCTTCTATTACAGGGTTCTTCTGATATAAATATTTCTTCCAGTCACAGAGTCCCTTTAATTCAGACTGATTGATAAATGAGACATATATGATAGGAGAAGTCATGGAGGATCAGCACTGGAAGCATCTACTATACTGTATACTGCACCTATACTGATGTAGCTGTTCCTGGAGGTAACATGATGTCTGTCCTGTATCCTTCATCTCCTCATGTGACGTCTCTCTGTGTTCCAGGCATGGTGATCCTGTGGGCTCCTCTCTATGTTCATGAGGGAGATGATCTGACTCTGAGGTGTCACCATCGTTCTGGCTACATTGCACAATATACAACATTCTACAAGGACGATTCTGTCATTCAAAGCTGGAGAGAAACATCTGAATTACATGTAGGAATTGTAAACATGACGGACGCCGGGAGATACAAATGTACAAAGGAAATTTCTTTGCCTACGATTTATGTAAAATATGTAACTTTCCAAGATGAAGTTGTTATCAATGTACAAAGTAAGTCCGGGGCAGATCACGTCTCTAAGCTTTATTATAGATAAAGGGGTCTATTTAGCAATGAATAGTTCTCCTGCAGCCACCATTTTATTGGGGGGATGTCCCTGAATTCTGATTGGCTGACATGGGCTCCGCACTTTGCTCTTAGTGACGTCTGATGATTTATTTCATAATCCAGGTAATATGTAAAGTGCAGGACCCATAGACATGGCTGGGCTCTGGAGCCTGGTGAAGGTGCCCCAGGTTTCCTATCCAGGTCCCGGGGCTCCATCATCCCTCTTACACTTTGTTGGTGGTGTATCGGTTCCACATTATCACTGTGAATGGTGTGCGTGTCCCGGGCAGTAGATGAGAAGACGATAACGTCACGGCATTTCTCTAGGAGGCGATCATGTGACTTACTCCGTAATGTCCAACAATACAGAAGATAAAATGAATGATACAGTTTGTGTTTGTGATCACTTTTTAGATCTATTTGAAGTTCCAGAGATAATAATGACCCCAATTCCAGTGGTAGAAGGAGATCACATGACCCTGACATGTGACACGAGTCTCAGTCCGCTCAGACCAGGGACAGAACTGACATTTGCTTTCTACAGAGATGGACGGAATGTCGGAGAATTCTCTTCATCTAACGGATATGGAGTTCAGTCCGCTCAGGTGAAGGACTCTGGGAAATATTCATGTGAAGTGACAACCAACAGTGTACAAAAGAGGAGTCAGGAGATAAAGATCCAGATAAATGGTGAGTCAGTCACGGGACCAGCCGAGGGGTGGAAGAAAGTTATATAAACCCAAATCAGAGGACTCGGGTGTCTGAGGTTCAACATTCCATAATCATTCCCCGAGCCGTCCTCTAACTCCAAACAAAGTCATGACTTCCAGTGTTCTGCTAACTAACCACTGTCCTTCTACCTTAGTGGGTTATACGGTGTAGGTGGACATTCTGTGAGAGAGTATTCCTTCCTGTGGACACAAGTCTTACATGGACCCAACAGAAAGAGTTTATCTATCTATTACTGTATTCATCAAGTAGAGACTAGGGATGAACTCCAGAGCATCTTAACATAACCCTAACCCTAAGGGATGCTCAACCCACCCACCCAGTCAGCTGTGGGATGCTCGTGCTGATGTCATTGACCTTATATGGCCACATTATCATATTTGGTCAATGTAATTAGCCAAATGTAGCCATGTGGCCACATAAGGTCATGGCCACATTGCCACATGGTCACTGCATCCTGTCCCTTTGCTTATGTGCAGCTGCAGGTGGGGAACTCCTATTGGGTGGCAGCAGAAGGAACTTGTCTCATGCGTCAGTCAGGAAGCAGGGTGTGTTGCCTCTGCTCGGGGACCACGGGCACGGCGCAGGGCACGGGTTTCCCCTCAGCTTGGCAGAACTCCTGGTGCCCGGGTTGCGGGTACGCATGCGCGAGTCGCACGGCGGGTGCGCATGCGCGGTACGCAGGCTGCGTGCGCATCCCCGGGGGCACGCGTGTAGCACTCCTGCGCCAATAGGCATCAGGTGTGAGCCTTGCTGGTCCTAACTCCCCTGGCTATAAAAAAAACCTGGCCTGAGCTCTGGTTTATTGCTGAGTTATTCCACCTCATGGTGTGACATACGAAGCTCCCCTTCTATGTGCCTTGTTGCCTGTTTCCTGAACCCTCTGCTGACCTCCCGTGTACCGACCTTGGACCGCCTATCGTTTCTGACCCTCTGCTGCCTGCCTCGACCTCGGATTACCCTTGACTACCTCTTTGGATTGCCCCCTGGTTACCTTGCCTTCGGACCCTTCCGGCTGCTTCCTGCCGGCGGGTTCCCTCTGTGCTGCTCGCCCGCGGACGCACCTGATAGTCTCATACAGAATGATAGATGGTGACACATGTGGCTGTCCTTGAAGTGATGGGATTCTACTAAATCTTATGGATGACGCCGGATAATGTTCATATTTTATTATTTTATGTCAGTGACCCGGTGGCCTTGTGTCTTCTTTCAACCTGACTAACTATGTAACAATGTCGCCCATGTTTCTTAGCTTTTCCTTAAAGTTATGCTTCAGCATCGGCTCCAACAAAGCTTTCCAATAGGTTTTCCAGCCTCACAGAAGAATGTATTTGTTGCTCTGATTTATCTGGAGAAAAATCATATATGTTCCTCCCTGAATCTCCTTCTCTGCAGAGCTGTTTGTGAATCCAACAATCATCGGAATCCAATATCCGGAGGTAGAAGGAGATCACATGACCCTGACATGTGACACGAGTCTCAGTCCACTCAGACCGGGGACAGAACTCCAATTTCCTTTCTACAGAGATGGACGGAATGTTCAGGAATTCAATTCCTCCAATCAGTATGGAGTCCAGTCCGCTCAGCTGGAGGATTCTGGGAATTATTCCTGTGATGTGAGAACATCAGATGGCACAGTGGAGAAAAGTAGTCACTTCCTCCCGATTGTGATAAAAGGTGAATATGATTTATTCCTGAACAGATCACAATGATACCGCCAACCTCAGGATACAAGGCGTCCTGTGCAGAGTTATAGACGTCACCCAACCCGTACAATTCTGTCCTGCAGATGCTGGGGAAGCTTCTAGAGATTTATAGGGAGGGGCAGCAGAATTTTATGAAATTTAACTCCAATTATAGATTCAACAATGTAACTGACTTCATAGCTGATATTGTCTTTGTCACGATTTTGGGATATTTTCAGAAAAATAATCAGAGGAAATTTTACCAAAATTACACCGAATTTTAATACTAATTCTCGCTAAAAATATGTTTTTTTAATTTTTTTTTTCATAGAGCTCTTTTCCACCCCGGTGCTGAATGTAAGGACTACTGAAGTCCTAGAAGGTGACACCATGACCCTGACATGTGACACGAGTCTCAGTCCACTCACACCGGGGACAGAACTTCAATTTGCTTTCTACAAAGATGGATGGAATGTTCAGGAATTCGGTTCCTCCCATCAATATGGAGTCCAGTCCTCTCAGCTGGAGGATTCTGGGAATTATTCCTGTGACGTGAGATCTTCAGCCAGGCTTGTGAAGAAGAGCGCGGAGGTCTTTATTCTGATACAGTAAGTAATAGGGGGCGAACAATGTTTAGGTCGGTGGGAGGTGTCACATCCACATGAATGGCAGGACCCGAGGTGTCCCAGCAGAACATTGCCCATCACACTCCCTCCGCCATCTTGTCTTCTTCCCATAGTACATCCGGGTGCCATCTCCTCCCCAGGTAAGTGACACACACGCACCATACATTGAAATGTTATAATGGGGATTTTCTTTGTCTCTTTCAGGTGGAAATTCTGTGGATTTGACAATTTCTAATATTATACGATTGGCGTTGTCTGGACTGGTGTTATTACTGATCATCATCCTTATACTCTGGGAAGTGATAACAGGAAGTCAGGAGGCCCAGAAACTACGACAACGTGTGGGAAAGCCCCGAAACTCCCTCTGATACAAAACGCTGATCCCATATGAGGGTCCCCAACCTGTATGTACAGCCGCAACATTCTCCTCATCTAATCTTATATCTGCTTGCCGGAAGCTTCATGGAGGGTCCATCACTCACATGTGGTGGTTGTGCCCAATCATTCCGCCATATTGGTCTCCAGTCATGTCTATTTATAATCTCTGGCTACACTTTGCCGCTCGATCCCGGGATATGTCTCTCTTGTTTCTCTTCTTCTCCATATAAGAACTATGGGAATAGTATTATCAACATGAAATACAACTAAAAATAAAGTCTTTAGACAACATTTTTGTCCTTTTGTATCTAATAATGAAAAACTGAGCAAGTGACCCAACGCTATGGAGAGTGCCACTGAGTGCTGCCATGTTACCAGAGAGTGCCACGTGTTGTAAAAGAGTGTTGCCATATTTGTGATCTGAACCTGGAAGCTCTTTCTGCTGCAACCCAATCAGCGGTGGTCGGAGAATTCATATTGCAATAGTTTCCCACCCCATGCAAGATTTAAATACTTATTTTTGCCCCGGGTACTATACTTACCTCACCCCTCACTCCATCATCAGCCGGTGTTCTTCCCTCTTCAGTACTCCATGTTGTGGATGGGGCCTCATTCCCTCGTTGTCCCGACTTATAGTTGAGGACTGCTGGTCCTGCGTTGTACATGATGATGTCAGAGTGCGCCCCATAGAGGGGTGAAGAGAAGCAGCTTTGGGGGACGTGTTGTACGGTTGGGAGGAAGTCTGAGGGAGCGAGGAACAAGGTCAGTGTGACCCTTCAGTACGGGGGAGACCCATCACAATGGAATTCATATTTCACCGGAGTTCAGCTTTAAATAAAGTACCTGAGTATTTCCTGTGTATTATTTTTAGTTATATTGTTCTTCATCTGATCTGTTAGTCGGTGCAATGAACACGAACTCTACAGATGTTCCGGAAAGCCAAAAACTTCTATAAGTCTTTCTACACCGTCTCATACCAAACCACAAGAGACGACAACCATGACCCCGTCCACAGCTCTGATAGTTCTCCTCTGTAAGTATATGCTGTGACACCGAGAGATCCCTACACATTCCTCATAGATGTATATATATACTGAACGGCTCTTCTCTTAGAACTTATACTTTGCTTTGCATAGAGTGAAGTTTGTATTTCAGACGTGTCATCATTTCCTTGTCTTATTTTACAGCCACAGTCCTGGGACACGCAGGTGAGTCTTTATTATACATCTGCCAATCAATCAATCAATCAATCAATCACTATTGTAAAATGATAGAAATAGCGGAATCATAGAGGGAATTCCGGCAGTTACAGATCCCGATTCATCTCATCTGCACTGAGAATACTGCAGACCATTGTGTGGAAAGTTTTAGTGATTGGGGTGTAAAGCCGCCAGAATTGTAGTGACGTTGCTGGGTGACATCATTGTCCTTATAAGGAAATGTTATACTAGAGGAAAGCTCCTTATATGGAAATATTATATATCCTTATTGGATTGTCTGACCTCCAAGGGGCCGGAGACTCTTCTCCCATAGTGTGGGGGCTTCCTATTAGTGGGGGGTCCTCCACTCTGCATTATAGGGAACGGGTAAGCAGTCCTCTAGGACTACAATTTCCAGGTTCAATATTATATCAATTGGATCCTCTATTCCTCCAGCATGGAGGATTTTCTATTACTCGCTCATCTCTAATGAGCTGGAATGAATTTAGCTGAACAAATCCAGTGGAATGTGACTTTCATCTATTCACTATGTTGCCCATTTAGTCTGAAAGTTCACTTGGCCTTTAAACATGAGATCCTTGTATTGTATCTGATATTATTCTCTCCTATAACATTCTACATTTTATCGCTGGAAATGAACATGGCATAAGTTCGAATTCTTCTTTCACCCTCTTCAGGAGCGGCAGTGAGCCCGGTGGTGACCTTCACCCCAAACTGGAAGAAGATCTTCACAGGAGAGTCTATAACAATGACGTGTGATGTTGGGTCTACTGGAGGAGGAGATCTTGCCTTCACCTGGTACAAAGATGGTAAATGGCTCCATACAGGACGAACCTTCACCATTCCATCTGCATTAACTGAGCATAGCGGGGACTACATCTGCTGGGACGATACAGAAAGAAGTGACACCGCCAGACTGGATGTTGTTGGTGGTCAGTTCATTATATCACATTGATAATGTTCCATCTGAATGTCTTCTTCTCCCATTCCAGACAAAATGCAAGAAATCTAATATCAGGGAATTCACAGATGTTTCTTCTTAAAGGAGCCAAAGCTTGACTCTGATTGGTTAATTAGTCCGCATTTATCCTCACCCATCTGAGCTCTGCTGTACAGGGACTACAAGAGGCTGATACCAGGCCGAGCGCCAGTACTTACTCTGCTTGCCTTTGAAATAAAATAACTGTAATTATCTATTACGCCATAGAAAGCTGGGAGTACTCTGTGTCTTTTATATCTGCCTGGAGTTCAGGATTAGGAGTGTGACACCATCTTCAGAACCTGCAATCATTGCTCTGCACTGCAATGGGTCTTAAACTTTAAGACAGAGGAACCCTGTAAAAAAGATGTCGGTTACTTACCTGTCAGGTGGGTGGTATTCCAATCTTCACTCCAGGTGCTGCTGCGCTCTGTATCACTGAGCCGGTCACAGAGAGATGTTTGTGATCTCTCCGCTGGCTCAGTGACTGAAAACATGGCACCTGCTGTTACGGTATTATTGCGGTGCACTGAGGGTGATAAGGGGTTGCCCAGGCACACCCAGCACACCCTGCGCTCACGCTAGACTTGCCACCTGTCCAGGATTCACCCTGGACAGGTGGCAGCTGAAACCCAGACACAAGATGTCAGGCAGACAGGGGCAACCAAAATTAAGAAAGGGGTTACTGGCCCACCACTGAAAATAGTCTTGACTGTGATATTTACATATGAATGGGTGGTGCTGCCGTGACTCATTCTCCCCCCAAAATTTCCGTGTGTTGCTAGAGTGTTCGGGTTTTGCTGAAAGAAAAGGTGGCAACCCCAGCGCACGCCTATGTCTCCTCATGGGACGTCTCTCTGTGTTTCAGGCTTGGTGGCCATGCGGGCTCCTCTCTATGTACATGAAGGAGATGATCTGACTCTGAGGTGTCACCATCGTTCCGGCTACATTGCACAATATACAACATTCTACAAGGACGATTCTGTCATTCAAGGCCGGGGAGAGAAATCTGAATTACATGTAGGAATTGTAAACACGAGGGACGCCGGAAGATACAAATGTAAAAAGGAAATCCCTCTGCCTACAAAAAATATGAGACGTGAAACTTTCCAAGATGAAGATGTTATCTACGTACAAAGTAAGTCCGGGGCAGATCACATCTCTAAGCTTTATTATAGATAAAGGGGTTTATTTAGCAATGAATAGTTCTCCTGCAGCCCCCATTTTGTTAGGGGGGGATGTCCCTGAATTCTGATTGGCTGACATGGGCTCCGCACTTTGCTCTTAGTGACGTCTGATGATTTATTTCATAATCCAGGTAATATGTAAAGTGCAGGACCCATAGACATGGCTGGGCTCTGGAGAATTCTCTTCATCTAACCGACATCGAGGACGGAGTACACAGCGATATCTCAGTGTTTGCTGACGATACCAAAATTGGGAGGGTAATAGAAACAGACCAAGATAGTGTAACATTGCAGGAGGACCTGGATAGAATAGGGGGAGGGGCAACTATGTGGCAGATGAGGTTTAATGTCGATAAATGCAAAGTAATGCACTTTGGGAGTAAAATATGCAAATGGGTTATACAATCATGGGTATGCCGCTAGGGAAGTCGGAAATGGAGAAAGATTTGGGGGTCACTGTAGACCACAAACTGAACAATAGATTACAGTGCCAGGCTGCTGTAAGCAAAGCTAGCAGAGTCCTGTCCTGCATCAAGAAGGGGATGTATTGCAGGGATAGGTCTATAATTTTGCCACTTTACACATCAATGGTTCGTCCCCACCTGGAGTATGCGGTGCAGTTTTGGGCGCCGATACACAGAAAGGATGTCCTGAAGCTGGAGGGAGTCCAGCGGAGGGCGGCCAAACTCATCAAGGAGATGGAGGACCAGAACTATGAGACACGGCTACTAAATTTAAACATGTTTACGTTGGAAGTAAGGAGATTAAGGGGGGGCATGATTTTCATGTACAAAATGTTCCATAGTCATGGCGACATTAGCAACAAACTCTTTAAGATTAAATCCGTAACAAAGACTAGAGGCCACCACCTAAAACTGGTAGAAAAAAAATTCAAACACAAGGGGCGAAGGGGGTTCTTCTCAGTCCGCACGGTTAGGGTCTGGAACTCGCTGCCTCAAGCAGTGATTTCCGCGAATAGTCTGGAATCATTCAAGAAGCTTTTTGACGACTTCCTGAGAGACCGTAATATACAGGGGTACAGGTACTCTTAAGAATGAGAAAACTCAGGGACCTATACACACACACACACACACACACACACACACACACACACACACAATAGGTTGGACTTGATGGACTTATGTCTTTATTCAACCTCAAATACTATGATATGGAGTTCAGTCCGCTCAGGTGAAGGACTCTGGGAAATATTCATGTGAAGTGACAACCAACAGTGTACAAAAGAGGAGTCAGGAGATAACGATCCAGATAAATGGTGAGTCAATCACGGGACCGTCTGAGGGATGGAGGAGAGTTATATAAACCCAAATCAGAAGACTCGGGTGTCTGAGGGTCAACATTCCATAATCATTCCCCGAGCCGTCCTCTAACTCCAAACAAAGTCATGACTTCCAGTGTTCTGCTAACTGAGAACATATTCCTTATTCTAAAACACTTCACCATCTACTACATAGACCCTTCATTCCATAATAATGTTGTTAATGTCTCCTCTCCAGCAATAGTATATACATAAGTGGGGTAGTTAGCAGAGTAGTAGCAGAGATCAGAGAGTGAAAATCCACTGCTGGCCCTTGCAGGATGGACCGGGCCACAACTGGCAACATGTAGCCACGTGCTTATCCAATGTCCTCCTCTGGGGTGACGTTGATGTTCTTCTACCTTAGTAGGTTATCCGGTGTAGGTGGACATTCTGTGAGAGAGTATTCCCTCCTGTGGGCACAAGTCTTACATGGACCCAACAGAAATAGTTTACCTATTACTGTATTCATCAAGTATGGATTAGGAATGAACTCCATAACATGTTAAGGGATGCCCAGTCAGGTGGGTGGGCCGATGTCATTGGCACTATATAGCCATGTGGCCATATAAGGTCAATGACATCACTGCATCCCATCCCTTATATGCAGATGGGGAACTCCTATTGGGTGGCAGCAGAAGGAACTTGTCTCATACAGAATGACAGATGGTGACACATGTGGATGTCCTTGAATTGATGGTATTCTACTACTGTATATGTTCTTGATGATGCCGGACAGTGTTAATATTTTGTGTCAATGAACTCGGTGGCCTTGTGTCTTTTTTCAACCTGAAAGAAACAAAAGACAAAGAGCGCCTCCATCGCGTAAAAACGTTTTAATGAAATGGGTTTAAAACAAGTGAAACCATACTCACAAAAGTAGAATTTCTACAGGCATAAATGGATAAAATCGTTAAAAGCTTAGCCCACCGGCTACTCTTCCTCCCTGAGGTTAACGTTTCCGAGGCCACGCCTCCTTTGTCAGGTTCTGGCGCTCTTTGTCTTTTGTTTCTTTCAGAGTTGAGGCTCCCGTATAGCCTATCTGAGAGCTTGCCCCATCTGCGGTTTTGCTTGAGATCATTGCAGACATTCTCCGGTTTTGGATACAAGCCGTTGGCGCTTTTGTTATATACTGTTTGCTTTTTTCAACCTGACTAACTATGTAACAATGTCGCCCATGTTTCTTTGCTTTTCCTTAAAGTTATGCTTCAGCATCGGCTCCAAAAAAGCTTTCCAATAGGTTTTCCAGCCTCACAGAAGAATGTATTTGTATTTGTTGCTCTGATTTATCTGGAAAAGAATATCATATATGTTCCTCCCTGAATCTCCTTCTCTGCAGAGCTGTTTGTGAATCCAACAATCATCGGAATCCAATATCCGGAGGTAGAAGGAGATCACATGACCCTGACATGTGACACGAGTCTCAGTCCGCTCAGACCGGGGACAGAACTCCAATTTGCTTTCTACAGAGATGGACGGAAGGTTCAGGAATTCGGTTCCTCCAATCAGTATGGAGTCCAGTCCGCTCAGCTGGAGGATTCTGGGAATTATTCCTGTGACGTGACACCATCGGATGGCAAAGTTAGGAAAAGTAGTCACTTCCTCCTGATTGTGATAAAAGGTGAATATGATTTATTCCTGAACAGATCACAATGATACCGCCAGCCTCAGGATACAAGGCGTCCTGTGCAGAGTTATAGACGTCACCCAACCCGTACAATTCTGTCCTGCAGATGCTGGGGAAGCTTCTAGAGATTTATAGGGATGAGCAGCAGAATTTTATGAAATGTCTAGTTGAATCCAAAACTGATATTGTCTTCTTTCCAAAGTTTTGGGATATTTTGGGCAAAACCAATTGATAATAATTAGAGAAAAATTTTACCAAAATGTATACAGAATATAAATACTCATTCAAAAAGCTTTTATTATTTTCAGAGCTGTTTTCCACCCCGGTGCTGAATATAAGGACTACTGAAGTCTTAGAAGATGACACCATGACCATGACATGTGACACGAGTCTCAGTCCGCTCAGACCGGGGACACAACTTCAATTTGCTTTCTACAGAGATGGACGGAATGTTCAGGAATTCGGTTCCTCCAATCAGTATGGAGTCCAGTCCGCTCAGCTGAAGGATTCTGGGAATTATTCCTGTGACGTGAGATCTTCAGCCAACATTTCTAAGACGAGTGAAGATGTCTCTGTCCAGATAAGAGGTCAATTTTACTCCCTCAGTTATAAATAAGTTGAAGCGTTTCTAATTTCAGAAACTTTTCTTATGTTGTAGAATAGCGGAGGATTAAAACCTCTGTCACTGTTTTTTGCCTTCTGTGTCTCAATAAGTAGATTTCCCTTTACTTCCTCTGCTGTAGACTCTACAGGAAGTGATAGGAAGGATATCCTCAATGTGAGAGAAATTCCCTCCCCCCTGGCCACTTGGGCACCTGGTGCCGTCAGATGAGAGGAAGGGAAGTAAGTCACATGGTTCCCATACCTGGAAGCACCGAGTATCTTTCCTCACTCCAGGAGGGGAATGAATCAGCAGAGCGTGAAGGAAAGCTTGAGAAAAGTATAGGCTTATGGTGAACCCTGACATGGAACTTCACCACACCCGCCGGCAATCACAGGGTCAGTCACATGGCAGCCCAACCACTCTACATCATGTGAAGAACGAGAGCGCCACAAGGAAACCATTAGTCCAGTACAGATTTATTCATCTTATCAAATGATAAGAGCCAACACATTTCCGGGGATCTCCGCCATCCAAGGAACTTACTGCAATCAGCTCTGGAGGTCCAGTCCTTGGTGTGCGGGGTGAATTCAAAGCTCCCGAAAAGCAATCTGTAAGATATGACAAGTAGGGATGAGCAAAACGGAGGGAATTCCCCCAAATGTTCAGCCAAAATTGGAAGCTTTTTTTTTGTAGACATTTTCCATTTGCCGAAATGCATTGAAATCACTGAGGAGGGGGAAATGAAGGTGTTTGTTTGGTGGGGTCACATTGAAGTGAACCTGTCCCCAGACTATGCACATTAATGTATCATCACATCCTGAACAAGCAGTAAATGTACTTCTACAGCAAGGTCTCATTCACTTCTGTAGCTGTAGACATTGTGGAGAAACTCATCTTCAAATTTCACACTGAAATCACATCTCCTCTCGTCTTATATTCTGTGGAGAGCTGAACCTTAGCAGCCTCCCAGACCTCTCCTGTAACCCACACCGGGTATTTCTATGCTGCTAGAAACAGACTGGAAATGACTTCATAGTCTCAGTTGTGATCTTTGAGGATGAATGACGTCACAGTACCAGCAGCTGCAGAGGTGAGTGTTGGTTTGATTTAAAGCTCTTTTACTGCTTGTGAAGAATCTGTCCATAGTCCGGGCACAGGGTCACTTTAAGGACAAGGGGAGTCCAACATTCATAGAACGGAGGAATCAGCTGAACATTATATACATTTAATTGTACAATTTTCTTCCAGATTACACAACAATGAATGTGGTGCGTCTGATGTTCTCCTTCTTAGTGTTTTCCCTGACATGTGGATTCCTCATCCATAACGTGAAGACTAATAAAGATCACGACCAATTGGAGGTGGAGCCTGAAGAACTTTCTTTGCATGAGAGGAAGTGATCTGTGATCCCTCCACCATTCTATTTTACTCTCACAAATTAAAGTCCAACTCCGAGTACAAATACATTACCGGGGTCACCACATTTCTTGGCCTCAAAAGTAACCCCCGTCATGCTGGCTTTCTTCTATATCAGCCCGTTTATATCCCGGGATTAGTACACATTACACTGTAGTCGCTGACTACATGACTATCACATGACTATCGACCGTATCCCCCTGATGGCTGCCCTGGACTCTCCGCCATTCACACAATACACAGCCCCGGGCTCCATTTCCCGAATGGCCTTCAGGACACAACATTGGGTCTCTAGTCATGTCACGGATATTTATAATCTCTGGCTACACATTGCCGCTCGATCCCGGGATATGTCTCTCTTGTTTCTCTTCTTCTCCATATAAGAACTATGGGAATAGTCGGCTTCCTCATTCATTAATCATGGCAGGACGTAGCATAGCCTTACACTGGGAGCCATCCAGGGCTCCATCTACTATTTCCTGGCTTAGGATGATTGGTTGGACTTTGCTAATGGAGGAATTGGGGGGGATGGGGAGGAATATCTCCAGAGGACATCATTGTGGATTCATGGAAAGAGTGTAAGATGTCCTCAGAGTACAAGCAGAGTATAGGAACCCCTTTCCAGGTATTATGTGTGGGACAAATCACTCGTCCTTCCAGATAGGAATAGTGTATTAGAAGTATCTCCCTTAGATATGGAGGACTGATGTCCCGGGGACAGAGGAGGACTGCGCTTTGTGTTTCTCTTTCCTCTTCTCCTCTAGGTGAGGGAGATGTGATGACGGAGAAATACAATTGTTACATTCTAATAGTTACTTTGTGTTTAGTATAAAAAGTCTTCTTAGAGAAACGGAAGATTGAGATCCAGATATTGCTTGGAATCCGACTGGAGGGGGAAATGGAATTCTCATATCAATTGTGATTTAGTTTTAGTTGGCTTGTTTTTTTTTTGTAATTTTGTTACAATGTATCTTTTTATATTTTGTATAATATCAATATAAACTAATAAATAAAACAAGTTGTGTTGCAGTGATGAAGTGGTTGTATATTATATGAGGTTGCAGTGATTATACCCGATGTATATACAGTAACCCAATACTGAACCCTACGGACTATGTGTTCATGTGCGTGTAAAGGCGTCCCAATACTTTTGGTAACATAGTGTATATGACTCTCTGGCCCCCACTTGGGAGATCTCTCCGTACATCCTCTCCACTAGAAGGGAGTCCCACAGATCAGGAAGTCAGAGGAAATCTCCCCTATATGGGACCCATCCAGCAATAAAACCATTGTCCAGTATAGTGAGGAAAGGTGACAACCAATCAGGATTGTATTGCTGTCCACGAGGGAAACAGGGAAATCTCCATAACGTGGACACTCTTCATCGCTTCATCCGAAGACAAATGACATATTACACCCGATGTATATACAGTATACCGGGGGGGGATATAATAAAGACAAATAGGCTGTAGAAGTTCTGCTGACCTCCATCCTCCAATCACGTGGAAGCTAAAATCCTGTTTTCTTTGTGTTTTCCTTGCATGTGATTGGATATTCTCTGCACAGTGAGTTGTCACCGCAGTCACTAAGCGATGTGAATGTTCCCGGCACAGTGATCAGTGTGTTTGCTGTCAGTAAATCTCCCCCATAGTGGGCAGCTTTGTGTACAGCTCGGAGGAGCAGAGGCTGCAAGAAGAGAAACCGACAGCCATTTCCTGAGGACACGAGACACTCTGACCTATAGACATGTAGCAGTCGGGTGTTAGGGGGATGTGGTCTGCGCTATATATATCAACATCAAATACAACTAAAAATAAAGTCTTTAGATAACATTTGTGTCCTTTTGTATCTAATAATGAAAAACTGAGCAAGTGACCCAACGCTATGGAGAGTGCCACTGAGTGCTGCCATGTTACCAGAGAGTGCCACGTGTTATAAAAGAGTGTTGGTGGTCCAAACCTGAACTCCTCTGAACATGGAAGGAAGCTTCTTCTGTGTCCGCCCAATGAACTTCAGTCTGGAATTCTCTGCCCACACCGGCATGTAAGCAAAGGGGCGGGGTGCTGTGACATCACTGACCTTATATGGCCACAGGGGTATATTTGATCAATGGCATTGGCTTAATAATGGCTTGTGGCCATGAACTGTAAAGTCAATGATGTTAGCACAAGTATCCCTCCCCTTTGTTTTTGTGCAGCTGTGGGGCGGGGAATGACCCAGCCCTTAGCTGATTGGGCGGGCGGGCGGCCCATAGCACTTTCATGTTCGGAGTTGCTCAGGTAGCTCATGTTTGGTTCTCTACTTGTAGGAGGCCAGAACAGAAACTACTGCCACCAATCTATCCCTGATATTCCATACACCTGGAAGTGTGGACTACATACAGTGGCTGGGAAGCAGTGAAGCGGTTGGTGTTCCAACACAAGAGCCACCAGACAGGTAAGTATATTGACTCTTCCTTTACATGTATAGTACTGTATACATGAGATCCTGTGCGGAGTGTCACTTTAAGAATGGTTCCACAAATTTCAGAGGTTCGGGGATCTCAATGATCCTTCAAAACTCCAAATGCACCAACATTATCCCAGCAAGCTGACTGGCTCTGGTGAGGCGGCTCCCAACCCCCTAACATCCCTCTTGGTGGGTATCCAGAAGAAGATTGGAGTGTAGATGTATATTGAAGTTGGACCAACCGATCACATGATGAATCTACAATCCAAAAGGAGAATTCACACCACATTGAAGGAGAGGTTCCTCTGGTCTCAGTCTTTTGAGTTCTTTTTAGTCCCCACATTATTGTTTCTAGTCCCGATGAAGGTGGAGAGATATTGTCCCCGAAACTCCATGGCTGGTTTGCCTTTGTGATTGAATATATAAAGACTCTTTGGACTTTTTTCACCTATTTGGTCTGGTGCCCATTCACTATGTGTCCACACCTTAAGCATGGAGGCCATTTATCAACATTTGATGGAACAAGAATATAAATGACCTCAAACAGGTCATATCATGGAAGATCTGTACCCCTGAGTATAGGTGTATTAGGGGGTGTCCAGATCTATTGTTCAGGGGCCAACACACTCTGATGTTCCCTTTAATTATAATTAGAAGGTACGTAGGTGAGCAGTATACAATCCACCTTCATGTTGTTGGGTGTGCTTGATGGTAAATACATTTGACCCATGTATGTTGTCTATAATACTATGCTTACTTCACCTCTCTCCAATTCTCCACGGTGTCCTCACCTACAATGATGGACTGCTGGTCCTGTATTGTACACGATGATGGCAGAGTGCGCCCCATGGAGGGGTGAAGAGAAGCAGCTTTGGGGGACATGTTGTGCGGTTGGGAGGAAGTCTGAGGGAGCGAGGAACAAGGTCAGTGTAACTGTATCTTCCTCCTACCCCCTTTGACAAAAATTATCATTTGACCCTTCAGGACGGAGGAGACCCATCACAATGGACATTTCTTCTTGAGTTCAGCTTTAAATAAATAAAAAAAACTTCAACTTTTCATCAGATTATTTCCTGTGTTTTACATATCAGGTCACCTGATCTGTTTGTGGGCGCAAATAATATGAACCCTTCAGACGTCGTGGAAAACCACAAACTTTGTTAAGTCTTTCTACACCAGCTCATATCAAACCATAAGAGACGACAGCCATGACCCCGTCCACAGCTCTGATAGTCCTCCTCTGTAAGTATCTGCCGTGATCACTGTCTATATTTCATTATCTGTCTGCCAATCTGTCTACCGAGCCCAACTCCGGGCGCAGCTACCCATGCAGACCCCCCCATACTACAAGGGGGTAAATGCTCATTAGGTCTAGGGGTAGAGGGATGACGGGTAATACTTACTGGTTACTTATTCAGTACAAAATGTTTCTTTTCTCTTTTTATCACAGTTACAAATAGTAGAAGGTTTTCCTTGCAGTGGCCGGTGTGATAGTTTGGGGAATATAGCCCAATGGTAAGCGCTAAGTGACCACTCCTGAAGCCGACTTTGGCATAAAAGGAAAGTCTTTATTCTTTCAAAAGGTCAACAGTCCATGAACTTCACAAAACAACTCGCTTTTCTTCAGCATAAATGAAGCATAACAGTTCATTGGACTCTCATCAACACATCATGTTTTGGTCTCACCGACATCTGACTGTCCCATACACTCCCCGTGTGATAGTCTCAGGACTATCCCTGGAAATACAGTCCTCAGCAGCTTTCCTCAGCTCCAAGCATTTTAGTATTCACCCCTCGTGGGTCACTGTCTCTCTCTGTCTCTCCGACAAGTATTCCCGGGGTCACCAACCCTTCCTGGCTGTGTCACCTGTGCTCCCACACACAGCGGAGTCTGCCTGAGACCGTGTGCCTCCTGCACACCCACAACTCTCTCCCCTGAGCACTGGGCTGGCTTCCTAATAAAGTTGCTCTCAGCCACCTGATCAGCCCAACCTGGCCATTGGCAACACCTGGCCCCAGGACTGGAGGTCCCATCCCACTATAGTCCGGAAAGCCTGGATGGAACTGAACAGCCAGTTCCTCCTCTCC